GTATTACACTGCAGTATTCTTTATGTGAATTTTATAAAGTTTTGTCTGTATATTCTTAGATAGAAGTACAAAAATCAGTATTTCATCGTCGATGCCAAATTCATTCTATAATGTAAATTCAAGTATTCTGAATGACTAGAAAATGTATCTAAGTATATTTGACTATTAAAAATAGTTAAAATATTAATAAATAAAATGATGAGTACCTATGTTTTTATGATTTAATTTAAATGTGAATAATGAAAATCTTTTCATCTAATTTAGGCATAATAATTTAAGTAATTTATTATTTAGCAGAAAATGTCATTACAAAAAAAATTGTATATATGAAAACAACATTTTTTTTATTATAATTAAAATATATTTACTACAAATCAAACAATATCTATTGTTACAATACTATAAACTATATCTATTGTGAGTTTCATTTCTAATTTTTTATGATTTTGCTTAAATTAAATTTTAGAATCTTTTCCAATTGGTTTATTTATTAATATGGCTGACTGAGTATCTATTTCTAACAGTGATTAATAAATCTTTTATTATAGACTTTTAGTAATCTAGAAAAAGTATACTGATCCACCAGCAATCACTTTGAAAACTACATCGATAGATTTCACATAATATATTTTAATTGTACACTAGTATGTGAGAACATTTAAAAAATATATAGCTATTAACTACTTATATCAGCTATTGAATTACATATAACTTATAAGAAAAGATAAAATTCATCGTAGTAAAGACATCGATGTTATAAAAGAGCCTAATTTTATCACATAAACAAATTCTGAATGATGTAGTCGTAATAATAGCATACATAAATGAGCGATACTTTAACTTTAATCTATAGTGAATATTTATTTGTGAACATCTTTCAACAGATAAAGGATGAATAAATAAAAACCTATTTTATGGACTACAAATAGGTTAGTGTCATCAGAGCTCAGTGAACACAACACGGAGATTCAGCACCAGTTTCTGAAGTCATAAAACTGTTATTCTCTCCTTATACGGCGTTGGAGATCAACTATTCCACTGTATTCAATTACCATTTCACATGAAAATGTACTGTTAGAAATAAAGGAGATAATGATGAAGGAAAAACCGCAGGGAAACGGATTCCTTTTTTGCTATCCTTCTTTCGTAGCGCTTGAAATCATATAATCGACTGGCTCAGTGATCCAGTGAGTGAATGTGACGATTTTATAGATTTCGTAGGCCCGAAAACAGCAGCCGGGCATCATTCAGTAGAATCGATCCGAAGTGATCGGGATACAATAGAATTTAAAAATCGCAAACGAAGGGTTAAAAATCGGAAAGGTGTGCACTTAGTGAATAGTAGAAATGGCAATGTAAAAAATGCAAGAACGTGTGAAAATTTGCGTAAATAATAGATTGAATTGAAAATGATATTTTAAGTTTCGATAAAACTGAAACAAAAAAATATATTGATAGATAATTAAAGTATTATAATAATTATTTAATATATCATACATAAATTAAAGAATGCTTTATATTTGTAAATCTACATTCTGTTTCTCTACAACAGTATATTTTTAGTCATAACATTATTTTTATTATCAAATTAACTGCTGTTATTTTAAAAAATTAAAAATATGGATATTTTTTTTCGTTAAGTAAGATAAATATAAATGCTTTAGTTTTAAAATTAAATAATAATTTTTAGAAACTAAATAATCACAATGAATGCTATCATTAATTACTTAGTAAAAGAGATAAAAATTACTAAACTTTTCAAGCTGCAGATATAAATACATTATAACACAATTATCAAATAGATCAATCTTTCCTAGATTTTTATCATTAAAATATAATGAATGATAAGATTTCTTTTATAAAAGAATGTTTTTGATTTAAGCATCTTTTTAGAATACGGCATATTAATGATAATAAATTAGAAATATGATACTATCACTGTAATTCCCCAAGGTTAATGAATAGAAATTTGAATCTACAAATATCTATAATATTTATAATCTATAAAATAATATTTTATAATCTTTAATATTTTATAATGTTTATCGAAGTACTAATATTAAAAGAATATAATTAACGTTTTTAAATAAAAAAAAACATGAAAATAAATTTTTAATGAAAAGTGTATCGAATATTGTACAGTCATGATCACATTGGGTCTGAGAATTTTTTTTTAAACTATACATCATATTTCAACGTACGCAATAGATAATAATTTCTAAGATACTGTAATAATTCTTATTACCATCACCAATACCATATAATTCACTATTTTTATTTAAACGATGAATCGTGTGCATAATGTGTGTTGTATATAAAAATAATTTTATAAAACATTGGTAATTAAAATGTATAACCATTAATAATCAAACAAAAGCAGATTACATAACTAGAGTATATAAAATTAAGCTCTACATATAAGATAAATTCGAATAGCAAAATTCAAAAGCTCCAACGTTAGAGCGATAAATTGTTCCTTCTAATCTTTAAATCATCGTTCACACCCGAATATAAACGGTTTTCCGATAAAGGACACCAGGGACTGAATGAGAAGCCCGGTAAATCAGATAAAGATGAGAACGTAAAAATAAGAATGTGTGAGTGTGTGTGAGAGAGAGAGAGAGAGGGGGGGGGGAGTTCCTACCATGTAGAGGGAAATCGGAATGAATGACACAAAACGAAAAAATTAAGAGGAGAAATCGACATGGATTCGCATGGTATCCCCAATTTCTTTACGTATAGCTATTACGGCGAACTCTAAAGTGTCCAAGAACGGATGAAAAAGAAAATCTTGCTGCTAAATGCTGCAGCATCGTAGAATTAAAATATCGATCGACCAGCAATGGTGGCAGTGAGAACAGCTAAATAAAGCGAGAAAGGAGAACACGATTGCTGCAGAAATAGTGGAAGCGAGAGTGAAAGAGGAAAAAAATCAGTGAGATGAGTGTTCGTCGACTACGTGAAGAAAGACAGTAAAATACGCGAACATAAATGGGACGGAAAATTTGTAGCACATTCAAAAATGGAAGTAGATGAGTTCTTTGATAGTGAAAAAAGTGTTTTTTAGCACTTTTATTCTCTATTTTGGATTGACTTTACAACAACCATATATTCGCACAATTCTGCCTGGCTATTGTGACCACTGTTATATGTACAACATATATTATGTAATTTATTGAAATGATATAATTAATTCGTTAACGAATTAAGTCAAAGAACAATTTTTTCATAATTTCTTCAATTCTCATGTTATTTTCATAATTTCTTCAATTATTTATGTTATTATATATTAGTAGACATATTTATAGAAGTTATAAAGAATAATTAACAATAAAATTAAAAATTTCATTTCATTGCGAAATAAAGATATTGCAGATGCAAGAAATGTCAGATATTGCTAATAATAGTATATAAATATTTATCATTATAGTTTTATATCAAATTCAAATAAATTTATAAAATATACTAAAACGCTATTATACGGAACTAATAATAGTCTACTCAAATATTTTATCAATTATATAATAAAATAACTAATAGTACTTGTTCATCATCATCGATAGATTTTCATTATGTCAATTAAACAAATAAACGCCTATTCATGAGTTGCTGCTTGTTAATTATTGACCACAACGCTGTTTATCAATTGACTTTAAAAAGAAAAAAGTGCCTTAATGATCCACGTTAATAGGACAGCTGATAGATCTGCGGGAAGAAACCGTCGACGCGCTTAAATCAGAACGAGAACCACTGTCGAGGCAATAGGACGTCACGAGGTCGTTCGCTGCCAAAAATAGTTTTGTACCTCATTATTTTTTGCTCTTAAGAGTAAAATTTCTCGCGCAGACCTTTGGCTAATACTTGGACTTACATTCTGAGATTCGATTTGAAAACAATTTCATTGATTATTTGTTTATCTAACTAATTACTCTATTTGCATTCAAAGTAACATCGCCACGCTCATTTCCAATAAGCATTTATAACAAATTTTTATGCATTTATACAAATATTTTGAGTGAGATTTCATAAAAAGCAATAAACAATAATTTCATGACAGTTTATATGTTAGTTTAATATAAAATGTAATACATTACTTTTGTCTCGCTATAACTTTTTAAAATTTTTTAAAAGATAATAATAAAAATACATGTATAACACAACAATGCCTGTATATAAGAAAAAAATTTACTCAAATTTTATAAGCTACCAGTATTTAAACACAAATTTAATAATTTTTTTATTAATAATTCATTATATTTTCATACGTATGAATAATACATTTATGTTATATAATACAGATTCATCATTTAATATAAATTCACTTTCATAGATGCATAACTTTTTTTTTAGCTGGACATATATTTCTCTTTCTTTAAAAATTTTCATTCTAATCTCTCATACTTTTCCATCTCGATTATATTCAAAAACTTAAAATTCAATTATTTTGAAAACAATAAGTAAATGTTTATTAAGCAAAATAGTTGAATTTTCTGATACATAAATTTTTATCTACATATATGTATATAAATATTAATTTTAAATAGAGATAGACAATTTACATCAGATTTTCTTAGGAACAAATAGAAAATGAAATTGAGTAGCAAAAGTTTTCTTTACCCAATTTGTTAACATATAATATACTTTAATATATTACATAAAATCCAATAATATAAACATTTATTTACGTTTTATCAGTACTGCCATCTTTAATTTCAATAAATTTATAATATTCTTAACTTATTACAAATAAGGATAAAAACTTTAGTTTAATATATAAAAAAAAAAAAATCATTATACTAATACAGTGTTGAAAATATCTTTTGTATTTGTACAAATATAAGCTGATAAATTATAACAAATCACAACAACAAATGGCAATTGTAATTCAGCAATATTAGAAAGGGGACAAGAATCTTCGTAGATTTTGAGCTTCTACGCTTACGAGGTTGCGAAATCAATGTTCGATTTAATTCGCTCGAATATTGAAAAAGCTCACTTACCTGGAGTTCCTCCTTGCACTGACGTTCTTCTTCAAGGCTCATCCGTTTCTCGTGTTTCTTGTAATAACGCCTCTTCGCCGCCTGTAGGTTGAACCACGTGTACGAGAAAGACTTCACGAATGGTAGGAGAGCCTCAATGAATGGATGGAACTCATCCTGCAAGCAGAAAATATTAAAGATTTTTTCAAATTTTTCACGAAAACGTTTCCATTCACTTCATTTTCCCCGTGGCCATTAACACTCGCCAACGTCCCTTTCACTCATTTTCTGAACTGTTGAACAATGCTTTGCCCCATCCCTTATGAGTTACTTTTTTATTTAAGCGAAAAAGACAACTGTGCGGTGAAAACATTTAGTACCACGTGCAAAGCCTGCCTTGCTTCCTTCCTTCCTTCCTTCCTTCCTTCGGTTTATTTATTTCTTTTTATAATGAATGATGAAAAAAGTGACGCTGAAATTAAAAAGAGCGACGGTCGAAGAAAGAACGACAAAAATGTCCATTTTGCCGATTACCATTTACTTTTTTACTCTAAGAGCCGCGACTCATCATATTTCTCCTCTTATTTCATGTTTAATGTAACATTTTATGTAGCATTAGGAAGTACCTCTTTACTGGACACAATGCTTTTCAATTATTTTTTTTAAGTTTTAGGATAATAACACCACTTTTATTTATTGAGGATTTACATTTTTAGATATATTATTTTTATGTTAAATTCACTATTTTATATATAAGCCGTAGGTAAACTCTTCTTCACTGACAATATTACACTAACTGAGCAGAATTTTATTTTAAGCATTCATCTAACCTATTAGCATCAACTTAAATTCAATGAGATAAATTATTTTATCTGCAGTTTAGTGCGGTAGTTGATTTATGTAGCAATATGAGAATTATATGTGAATTGATATAAAATACGACGCACGTATATAGGAAGATAATATTAGAAAACAAAAATCAAATTAATATCGAGGAAAAATATATATTCTTGACAATAGTTGATAAAAAATAATTATCGTTTTTAATGGGTGGAAAATTAACATAACTCTATGTGTTACGTAGTAAATAAAAATATTAAGAAATTAAAATTTTTTTTTAATTCGTCTTACATTCAATTCGCCAAATCCAAATAGAAAAATTCCGATCACAATAAAATTTAAATGCGACGTAACAAATAATAAAATAAGATTTTATAATTTAAGAATTTTTAATAAATAAGTATTAAGTTATTATCAGTCTTGCAATGGTCGAGTAATCGAAAAGATGCCATAAATGTATTTGAAAAGATAATAATATTTATACAACTTTCTGTACTAAAATCTCATTTTTAAATTAATTATTATACATCAAAATAATAATTACAGTAATAATTAATAATTATTACGTATTATATTTTTTTTACTTAGGAACTAGAATGATAACTTTAACATAATAACATAAAAATTAGTAAGGAATGGTATATTATATATTTAAAAAGTAATAAACTTCTGATATAATATGTGTAAATATGTAAATATACATTAATAATACTAAACGATGAATATGTATTTGTAAGTTTTCATTATTTCAAAAAAATGTATGAAATAATAATGAGAAATAACATATAAGGACAAATATTAAAGCCACATATTTTAATTATTATTTCTGAGTTTTCATTTCGATTTTATTATATTTTTAAAACCCTCATAAATATAGTTAAATGGCTAGATGATTTAAGCCTTTTAATTTTTCTTAATTTTATAAAATTGCACTGACTTATACTAGTTTCAAGAATAAAAAGAATGACAGCATAATAATAAGTTCCAAAAACCTATAATTAAAATGGTATCTAAGTATGTTTTTATATATTACTAAAAGATTTTTCATCAAAGTAAAAAATTCCAAATAAATTACTGAATTGTATATATAAATATAAATAATTGATAAACTCAATTTATTACGAAAGATTCTTTTATTACTCGTAATTTATTATGAAAAGTCATTATTTTTCAGAGACTCCAACGTTAAAATAATGTTTTGAATATTATTTAATTTTCACATAGTTTCCATTATTTTTAAGTTCTTAAATTTTTAATACACACATATGTAAAAACAATGTATATGCAGATATTGCGATAAAGTATTGATTCTTCTAGGGGCTAATGAAAATGTCAAATATCAAATGAATTTCCTTATAAGAGCAGAAACTCAGTTACTCACATTAAAGTCACTTCGTCACTAGTGCTAACGTATCACATTGTGACAACATACTATTCATCTACCGAAACTCTTATTATAGCCCCTATAAAAAGTTTTATTACGGTGTCCATTGTAAAACGAGCAGTTGCAAAGAAACTATGCGCGTAAACAACGCCACACGTGCGAGAGGAGGCACGTTGACGAAACAGTGCAACCGCATGATACGCCGAGACACGATACAGAAAAAGCGCAGAAGAGGGATAGAGATAGGCATGAGAGAACTCAAAATAGCAGAGTCAGGCCGAAAGCTCAGATCTCGAGAGCGCGAATGGGATATTTCCGTATTCGAGTTCTCGGGGACGTCTGCGTGTTTGTCGATGAAGCAGATAGATTTCCTCGCCTTTCTTTCCCTCCCTCCCTCTCTCTCTCTCTCTCTCTCTCTCTCTCTCTCTCTCTCTCTCTATCTCTCTCTATCTCTCTCCCTCTCCCTCCCTATCCCTCTCTCTCTCTCTCACCCTCTGAACGATCTTTCGTTTACGTTGAAGCAGTCTTCCAGTTTATTTCTTTATTGTTTCTCTCGCTCGTTCTAACTTTCTCTCTCTTCTTTTACATCGCTCTCTTTTCTGTTAGGCAGATCGATATCGCGAGCCAGGCCATGCCGAAATGTCTGCTCCGGAACTCGAGTCTTGATTCATGCTATGTAAGCTTCTAAAATATGCGGGACGAATTTTCCTCGTGAAAATTGCCGCTGAGGTACTCGCGACTGTGGCGGTGCTATACAACTAAAGCCGAGCATTTAGATGATTTTCCGGAGGTTTTCATTATTCCCGTGCTCAGTGGAAATAGATTGTAAAATCTCACATATTCTAAAATTTATTGTGATATGATGAAGTCAATAGTGGGAAAACCTTATATGCCGATTAGTTTAGTGTTAAGAGTTGGCAATTACTTTAATTAAATTATTCGATGATATAATTAATAGAAAATAATAATATTTTCCCATTATAAGCTTCACGAAAAATATTTTTAAATACTTTTTAGTGAAGGACTAGTGATTCTAGTTGTTATAGAATTTATAGATAGTAACATATATTTGATAGTTAAAAAATTAATTATCGTTTAACATTAAGTCACATATAATTTTTAAGTATATAAATAAGCACGAAGTGTGAAATTTTTTAAGATTTACGAATCAAATAGTCGTAATACAAAGATAAAGTATTATAATAAATATTAACATATTCTAAAAAATTCAAATAGTCAACTTACGATTTACCTTTCAAAAATATGATGTAATAAATTATTTTGAAGTGATATATATATTGTATTTATTACTTTAAGATATTTCTTAAGGACTATATATCAACGGTATAATAAATTCATGTTCAAAAATCATTGTATTATCCAATGTTGATCAGTTTTTGAATATAAGTATAAATCACATAGCTTAAGACATTTATCCTTTTTTTATACTACAATATAAATGGCAGGAAATGTTAATTTTATTAAAGTTTTTTATTAGTTTTTTAAATATATGTATGATCTATCAACAATTTTTACTATACAATATTTTATATAATTGATTATTAATATGATAAAACTGCATTTTATATGATTCGATTGATATTTAATATAATCTAAAATGTTTTAGTGAATACAATTGATGATGATATACGTGAAAAATGTAACACTAAAAATAAAATGCAGTATTAGAGTTTCAATTTGTGTAGAATTCCATGCAGTCAATGAATTATACTACTTGCATTTCGTGTAAATAAATATAATAAATTGTTTATTATTAGTAAAATATAATTAAGAAAGTATTTTATTAATACTTTATATCTTAATTACTCAAGAAGTCATATTTATGAAAAAATTTTACTGATAAAATTTACAATAATTATACTGATTAAAAAATTATAAGTATTTATAATTAAAACTTATCATTGAATTTTTTAAAATTAACGTTTATCATATGTTCAGAATTTAATAAGAAATTTAAAAAATAAATATATTTTTATGCTCTCTTATAGTGTACTCGTATAACATCTCTATAATTCTATTAAACTGTAATTTTGTACAAATCATGTAGTAAAATATAAGAAGCAAAGGTCGAAAAATCTTCAATATATCATGTTGATAAGGTGCAGTTTTTGTCGTAAACTATTTTTATCAATGGTTAAGTCTACATATAAAATTTAATCTCATGTCATCCATTCGGCTGTATTTCGTATGATGTACACCTAATTTTGCCGAATATTTATTGGACTTTTTATAATCAGCTATTTTAAATTTTGTCGATTCTTATTACTCACTATCTGACTGTACATCCTATTATAGAGCAAATAAACAAATTAAAACTTTGTTAAAATTATAAGAATATTATGTATCCTTTTTTGTAATTAATGTTATGCAGGAACCATTAAGTCTTTTCCAAAAGAGCACAAAATGTCATACTTGAACGTTCCTTTACATTTTGTATAATCATATAAATATATAAACATACAATATAATACCACAAAAATACATTTCAATTCATATTTAAATCACTTAAAAATGTATTAACTCGAACTAACGAATATATGAATTATGATATACCCAAATCTTATCTATAAAAAGTATAGTTTATGTTACCCTTTAATATTACACAATTTTTGGAAGTTTATTTATATGTACCGATAATAATAAGCAAATACATGTAAACTTATTATTAATTAATTCTATATTTAAAAAATTGTATATAATTACTATAGAGAAAAATATTTGAAGCCAGTTATTTATATAATGTAGTCATTCAAGACTAAATTTGATAAATCATCTATTATAGCACTATCTTATTTAATTCAGTTGATAGATTCAACTGACCAAAGATTCATTTTAACATATGCTTTCTCAGATCAACCAACATTATATTATATAATATTTGTATTCTTGAATATTAATAGTGATAAATAAATATTAGTTAAATTAAATATTA